CACATATGAAGTAATGTATCCGGGGCAAATAACTCAAGCCGTCATTATGAACTAGCTTTCCGTTCCAGTGCAGGTAGGAATTCCCGGCTCATACAGAATCCAAGAGAAAGGCATCAAAGAGCAAGAAGTCAGCAGACTTCATAGAGACCACCGTGAACAAATTTGTGGGGGTCTGGGAAAGGCTGGGGCAGAGAGTGGTCGTTTTGATGTTGACAGAATTCTAGAAGTGCTCTCTTACAAGGGCAGCATGGTGTTACGTAGCACCCCCTGCTCCCCTCCCCAGCTCCAGGTGGAGCACAAAAGGCACTCTATCTTCCTCACTGCCCAGGACAAAGGCGAGCAGTCAGGGAGGGTAAGGGAAGAGTGACAGTTGTTTAAAGGGTCTCTGTGGTAACCCTCCTCTGTATCTTACCCCACCCCCTAACTGGTCCTGAACTTTCAATTTTTGAATAACAGTAAACAAAGGCTATGAATATTAAGATACAGGAGACGCTGTAAAACAGTATTTTAAGCTGGGATTTTAGAATTAGTCAGAATGTCTGTCTGAATCCTCTCCTGCCACTTATTAGCTGTGATTTATGGCAAGTTACTTAATCTCTCAGTGTCTGCCTCTACGTTAAAAAAATTGAGTAACGGGCGGCCGGATGGCTCAGTTTGTTAGAGCGTATGCTCTGAACAACAAGGTTGCCGGCTCGAATCCCGCATGGGATGGTGGGCTGCACTCCCTGCACCTAGACTGAAAACCAGCTTGGAGCTGAGCTGCACCCTCCACAACTAGACTGAAGGACAGCGACTTGACTTGAAGCTGATGGGTCCTAGAAAAAACAGTTACCCACTAAAAAGAAAAAAAAAATATCGAGTAACAGTAGTACTTATCTCCCAGTGTTGTTATGAAGAGTAAATGAGGAAACATAGCAAGCCTCTAGTGCCCAACATAAAGTGATTGCTGAGTAGGTGTAGTGTATTACTTTAAACCCCACGTAGTATCTTAAAAAGTCCTTGGGCTCATTTATATATATGACCCAAATCATTTACCTTAATGAGACCATCTCCTTGGGCAAAGCACGGGTCCTGCACAAAATCAAGCACCTGAAGTGTCAGCTGATGCCACAACCTGAAAAACATAAGGCCCTTCAGACTCGTAAAGTAACCTCCAGTCACAGACGCCTTCAGCCCTGACGGGCCGGCCTGTCCGTAGCAGACACTGGGCACTTTCTCCTGTGTGCTGGGAAGCGTGCTGGAGCACATGCCGGGAGACCTGAGTTCTCTACTGGCTCTGCGACGCAGTGGTCACAGAGCCTGACACTCAGCTCCGGCTCACAGTGGAGCCCCCCTTTCTGGACTCCCTCTGCTGTGAGGGTGGTTCCTCTGGAGACAAGGACTTTGCAATCACACACATTCCAGCCGAAATCCTGCTCCTCCACTTACTAGCTGAGTACCTCAGCGAAGGACAGTAAAGCGAGCTTTGGTCTCCTCATCTGTGAACAGGATGATCGAAAAACTAAAGGGTTAGACCGCAGAAGAACAGCACATTTGAAAGCAAAGGCTAATTTTTAAGAATGCAAATAAAATAGTTGGAAAGATGCAAAGTACTACCCAACACAAGCAATTATTTGCCAAGTACTAAGAATCTGCTCTCAGAAATGGCTGCCAGCCGAAATGGCTGGCATCACGGACACACGCGCTGAGCATCTGTGCGAAGGGCACGCGCGCCTCGGCCGGGCTGCGGGCAGGGCGGCCGCCCGGGGCTGCGCTTTCGTGCGGAGCCCGCATCCCGGTGCCGACAACCGGCTCCATTCCTTTAAAGAGAGGCTGGTGCTCAGCAACCATTTCACCGCTCTGAAATTCACCGTTTCTACACAAACCCAAACTGCGCTCTCTCGAGGGGCACACGGCCCGACACGAAGCGACGGACGGCAGAGGCCGTGTCCCCGCATGTGGCCAGCGGCAGAACCGACGCGGGAAACGACAACGCTGCGCGGGCCTCCGGTCTATCCTTACAGACGGTCGGGGGAGACCGCCGTGGGTGGTCACACTGTGTGCGACACGGCTGAGTACGAGACGCCAGGGTCTGTTCCCCCAAATGACGGCAGTGGGACCCGGGGGGCGTCTGCTTGTTTGACCGGAACCCTAAACTTGAGCCCCGAACGCGCTTCCTCAGACGGGCGGGGGGGTCAGAGCGCGGTCGCGGCCCTCGGCGCGGGCGGCAGCGACCCCGCGTGCGGCTCCGCAGCTCGGTCCCGCAGGCTGTCGCCCCTCGGGTCCCCCGCCCACCTCTCCGGCCAGGCGGGTCCCCATCGCCCGGGCCCGTCAGGGTCCCGCCCCCCGCTGTCCGCCGCCCGGGCCCCGCGGCGGGGCGCTTACTTCTTCGTGTAGAGCTCCTCCAGACGGTGCCACACGGCCGCCTGGCCGGGCCCGGAGCTCTGGCTCTGCTGCAGGAAGCCGGGGACGTCCTTCATGACGGCGGAACGGTCCCAAGATAGCTAGGCACCCGAGAAGCCGGCGCGCGGAGATGGCCGCCGGCAGTGACCGGAAGTGCTCACTCACTTCCGGCGTCGTGCGCGCGGGGCAGGCCGGGAGCGCCGTCCGCCTCCCCGGGCGCCCGCTGGTTGTCAGGGTAACGGCGCCTCCGGGCTCAGGACCCACTCGCGTCCGGGTTTGGCCGGGCCCCCGCCTGGCCGTGTGGCCCTCGCGACCCGCAGGCTCTCACGCGGGGACGGTCGCGGCGCCTTCCCAGCAGCGTCTTGCGAGGACGAGCTGTAAACGTGACCCCGATGGCAGTGTCCGTCGCCGTCCCTCCCGTCTGAGAAAGGGGGGCGCGGGAGGGCGGGAGGCGGCTCCGGGCATGGGCTCCCGGGGAGCCGCCCCACCTGTCCTGCGCCGCCCCCGGGACGCGCGGGGCGGGGCGGGCACGTGACCCTCGGGGACGACGACGCCGCGCGGCCTGCGGCGAACATGGCGCTGTGGGGTCAGCCTGCTGTTCGCGCCCTCAGGCTCTGGGGCCCGGGAGGTGAGCGGGCTGGGCCCGGGCCCGCCGGCCTCGGTCACCCGGCAGCGGCCCCGGGGCGGGGCGGGAGCCCGGGCGGAGTCGGGCCGCCGTGGTGGCGGGCGTCCGGAGCCTGGAGGGCGAGCGCGGCGGCCCGGCTGCCCCTGCTCGGGGGGCGGGGGCCCAGGAGCCCGTGAACGTCAGGCCCGTTCTCAGGCCCCGAGGGTCCTCCTGCCGCCTGTGTGGCCTCGGTTTGCCGTGTCTTCTCGTGGGCGTTTCGCGCGTGTACAGCAACATTTAAGTGTCCTTGGCGACACCACCCGCTTTTGAGTTCGAGTCTGTTATGCCTCATTACTTAGCAGTGTGAGTGTCTTGGAGTTACTTCCGTTTCACAGCAGATGCTTTTTCAATCTTTTGAGCTGATCGGTAGCGTGCCATTGTGCTGATCTTTAAAAATTTCTTTACCTGTTCTCTTATGGAAACAGTTTCTAGTCTTCAGTCATTACAGATAATGCCGTGGTGAATCACCTTGTCGGTAGCTCACTTTTTGGATGAATTCCTAGCCCTGGAACTCCTGGGTCCAGAGGTACATACACTTTCATTGTCCCCTGTGAGGGGTGTGCGGTCGGTGCTCCCAGCAGCGTTTGTCTGTACCTTCTACACAGTAACTGCACATTTTGGAAACCTGGTCTGGGAACTGAGCCTACACATGGAAAAATCTTAAGGCTCTTAGTTGTTAGGAAACGAATTTAAATGCCCAATATTGGACGAATATTTAAGTAAACAGTGGTATAGTCACTTGATGCCATCTTACACAGCTCCTGAAAATATTGGTGGAAAGTTCAATAAGGTGACACTAAGCAGCCTTTTGTTCATCCAGGAAACATTGACCTGTGATGTGCGACTGTTGCAGGTGCTGAGGACAGCAGGGGCTGGATAGACGCCTGCCTCTGTGGAGCTGCTTCAGCATCAGGGCAGCAGACAGTGGGAAGGGTGGGACAGCGACCTGGGCCACCTGCTGCTTCTCAGGAGACGGCCAATGTCCATGAACCAGACCCTTGCTGCTGGTCTCCCAGAACAGGCGGCTCGTGCTGAGTGGGGCAGGCCGCTTGCACGGGCTTTCTGCAGTTGGAGCTTCTGCCCTTTGAGTTTGGATTTTGGGGTTCTTATATGAAATCATCCTTTTTCCCTTCCCCAGGTAGCACCCATGCTTGCTCCTCTGGGTCCCCAAATGCCCAATGAATCGTATTCTGTGTACCATGTAGACTCTAAGTTACACACACGAAGTGTATTCTAGACATTTGGTAAAATTCTGTGCATGTGTTTTTCAGTGACAAATATTTATGTAGATGAGAAGCATATGTCAGCTACCCTGAGAACACCTTGTACTTACACACTCAACAGTGGCAGTCACTTCTATGATAGGCGGTTTTTTCCAACAACACCAAGCAATTCTCCAATTTTCCACAGACACTGACCCGATGTCTCACAAATGTGGCTCAGTTCTGACACTATCAACCTGGAGACAGCACCAGGTCCCACCGTTAAAGGCTCAGTCCCACAAGACTGCCCCCACCTCAGATGCCAATCCAGGTTGTCACCTCCGCGTCTGACCGACTGGCTATGAATCATCAGAGGTTCCCACAACCCCCTCCTCAGATTCGATTAATTTGCTAGTGTGGCTCACGAAACTCAGGAAGCCAGTTTACGTACTGGATTTCCGGTTTATTACAAAGGATTTTAAAGGCTACGAATGAACGGCCAGGTGAAGAGATACACAGGCCAAGGTCTGGAAGGGTCCCCGACAAAGGAGTTTTAGTCCCCGTGGAGTTTGGGCCCTGGGGCCTGATGCCTGGATGCTTTCTTTCTAGTTCTCCAACCTGGAAGCTCTCTGAGCCCCTCCTTTTGGTTTTTGTTTTGTTTTGTTTTTAGCTCAGCCATCCTGCTACTTGTTGGCAGCTCAGCAGCAGCTCAGCTCAGGCTGGGAATTGAACTGGCTACCCTGTTGCTCAGAGCTTGCACTCTTGAGGAAGCTCTTAACCAACTGAGCCACTCGGCTGGGTCTCTCCTTTTGGTTTTATTAGGGAGGCTGCAACCCTCTAATCACGGTTGGTTCCCCTGGCAACCAGTCCCCCTCCTTAGGAGATTTCCAAAAGTGCCCTCATTATCGTAAGCTCAGGTGTGGTTGAAAGGGGCTTGTTACGAACAACGAGACACCCATTTCACCTTCTTGGCTCTGAAATGATTTCAGGAACTGAGGGCAAAAACCAAGTATTGTAACAAAAGATGCTCCCATTGCTCTCAGGAAATGAGGTTTTGGGAACGAAAACCAAAATACGTATTCATTACCAATCACATGATCACAGCTTCCCCTCCTTCCTTCCGTATTTCTCTTAAGCACTTGCACTTTAGAGGAGCTCTGGTGGGCAGATGTTTTCATGCCATGTGAGGTGCTCATTTCATCGCTGTGGTTGGGGCCAGAGTGTGGCCTTTGCTTCCCGCCCAGCTGACCAGTTCCCATCAGAAAGCCCCTTTCTGATGTGTTGGGCTTGCACTCAAGAGCTGCTGCAGCAGGTGCTCTGTAAAGTCCTGGGTGCCCCCAACACACACACCCCGTCACACCCCCAAACCCCTGCTCAACACTGCGGTGTCTGCAGGACATGGCGGAGGGTGCACTGTCTGCCAACTATGTGTCCTTGCTGCTGGGAGGTCAAACTCCGGACTTGAGAGCTGTTTGCTCCCTTGCTTTTGGCATTGGCAGCTGAGGCTTGGTGTGGAGTGACCTGACAGGCAGCAGGCCAGGGCCCTGGGGGCTACTGTGTTCCTCCGGATGCGCCTTTCAGAGTTCCGTGCTTTGGAAAACCAAGGTGACGCTTTGTGTGGCAGCACAGGCGACAGCCCAGAAGGGTGCGCGTGGACCGTGGGTACAAGTGGGTCCCCGGACAGCGCCGTCACAGGCCCCAGAGGAGTGTGAAAGGCAGCTGTGCCTGGAGGGAAGAGGGACCCCAGAAGGGGCTGGGAGCCAGGCCCGCCACCTTCCAGAGAAGGGAAGTGACTCACGGATTCAGCAGTGGTCTCACGAAGGAGGTGGCATTGGATTCTGGCCTTGACTCTGGGAGATCGGACGTGCTGAGGTGGAGAAAGGTCTTTCCAGGCAGAGGCCAGCTGAGGAACCAGCAGTCCTGCCTGGCTGAAAGGAGGAAGACATGGCAGGGAGCAGTGGGGTGGACGCTGTCCCGGGAGTGGGACATGCTGTGCTGGGCGGGGAGGGGTTTCAGGTGTACAGTCGGTTGGCCTGTGGAGAGATTTTGTAGTGTTAGTTTTTTAAGGAGCAAGAGAAGAACACAAAGGACAGAGCAAACAGGAGAGGGTTAGGGTCACACTCCTAGAAGGTGAGTCTGAATTGTCCTGACAGGTAGGTATCTACAGCTCGCGTTTAGGGTCTCGTTGCCCACACGTATCGCAGATGGGCTAAGGAGCACTCAGTTGCCGGTTTTCATGTCTCTCTTCACTTTAGACCTTTCATCATTTGGGGAGGGTTGTCACTTCAGTTTGTTGCATCTCTTTTCCTGTAAGGGTGTCCTGGGGGAGGGCTATCAAGGACCATGGAAGAACAGACGTGGCTGCCAGCCCCTGGGGTGTGAGAAGGGCGCCCTGTGCTGGCAATCCCTAACTGTGGGTGGGTCGCCAGCATGATGCCAGGAGGGGAAGGCATCATGCAGTGTGGTTAGATGCGCAGCTGGGGCCCTAAGAGCCCTGGAAACTCGGGGGCCCTTCCAGGCCCCATGTGAGGCCGACATCAGGTGCAGCTCCTGTGCTTGTGTTACCTGTGCTGTTTTTGCTTCCTTTGGGTTGCTTTCCGGAGGCCTCACCACCTCGTACTCCACAGTGGCCCTTGTGAGTGTCTCGGCTTCTGGCTTCTGGAGATAACCTGCGAAGCCGAGAGCTCGGAGGGCGCCCCGAGCTGCAGCCTTCCACCCCTTACTCAGCCCTGTCATTTGTGTGGCTGCAGTATGAGCAGCCTCAAGACTGGCTGTGAATGTGGACGTCTGCAGCAGATTGATCCCCTAGCTGTCAGGTGTGAATGTTTCTTTCTGGGATGGTCTCCAGAGCCCACTTTTCATCCCGATGACATTTGGGGTAAAGTGTGAGACGTTTAACTTTGTTCAGATGTGACTGCACATGTGTCACGTCCCAGGTGTGACAGTGTGTGCGTCTCTGCAGAGCCCATGATGGAGCTCCTGGCTGTGGCCTGAGTCCTGGGTCACAGGGTTAGGAAATGGTGTTTTCCGTGTTTGCACAGTTCCCGTGAACGGGAATCTTTTCCCTCCCAAATGAGTCTTGATTTCTGAGTTGAGCCTGCTTTCTGTTTTAGTGCACATCATTTGTGATGGGAAAGGTGGTTATTTGGGGGACATAGGTAAGTGTGTGGTCATTCTCAGTGGTGGGGTGGGGGGCAGGCGGTCTCATTCTCGAGATGAGCACGAGTGTCGTCGGTTACCTGACCACGCTCCTTTGTCTGTCCATATTACAGGTGGAAGGAGGCCCATCGCGTTCTCTGCTGGTGTCTCTGGGATTTTTGGAAATGGGGGCAGCAGTAAGAAGGAGAAGCTTTCTCTGCAGGACGTAGCAGAGCTGATCCGAGCCAGAGCTTGCCAGAGGGTGGTGGTCATGGCGGGGGCTGGCATCAGCACGCCCAGCGGCATTCCAGACTTCAGGTGCCCTGCGAGCCCCACTCTGCCCTTGCCGCCCTCGCCTGACCCCTCTGAAGGGCTCAGAGCCTCTGGCTTCTCTCTGCAGGTCTCCAGGCAGCGGCTACTACAGCAACCTCCAGCAGTACGACGTCCCCTACCCGGAGGCCATTTTTGAGCTCTCCTTCTTCTTGTACAACCCCAAGCCCTTCTTGTCTCTGGCCAAGAAACTGTACCCTGGGAACTACAGACCCAACGTCACTCACTACTTCCTGCGACTGCTGCACGACAAGGGGCAGCTTCTGCGGCTATACACACAGAACATCGACGGGCTCGAGAGAGGTGAGCCCTGTACGGCCCCATGCCCTGTGGGGAGGCTCGGGAGCTCGGGCTCACTCCCATCCTTGTCAGAGTTCTGAGCCAACGAGCCATGCTTTGTTCCTGACCAGATGTCACTGTGGGCCCCAGGGGCCCTTTTGGGACTTCGGTGGTAGACCTGTTTACCAGCCTACCTGTGGGCTGAATTCTGAACAGGACTGAGGCTGACATCAGCAGCTTCGAGTTGTGCTAATCTGATAAGACTTTTTTTAAAAAAGATTTTATTTATGTATTTATGTATTTATGTATTTATTTATGTATTTATGTATTTATTAAATATTTTATTGGGGAATCGGGGAAGGGGAATAGACAAGTTGCTGTCCTTTTGTTCTTCAGTCTAGCTGTGGAGGACATTGCCTCACTGGCCCATGTTGGTATTATCATGGCGCTCTTCCTGGGTGAGGCAGTCGCTCGCCGGCCATTGGACAGCTGCTCATGGCAGCTCACGCTGGCTGCTGGCCACACATGGTAGCCCCACTGCAGCCTATGCCGTTGCCGGCGACTCACGGCAGCCCAGCTCCAGGTCGAGCTGCTGTTCCCCATCTTAGCTGCAGAGGGCGCAGCATCACTGGCCCTCATGTGGGATCTGAACCGGGGCCCTGCTGCTCAGAACTGGCGTCCCAAGCCAACTCCTAACCAACCCGTCACTCGGCCGGCCCTGATACGAGTTTTTTTTACAAATTTTATTGTGGAGGTTTTCAAGCACACAGAAGTAAAGAGAAGAAGAATGTAACGCACCTCACATCATCATCCGTGTCCTCCATGTTCTTTCTCACCCCCAGATGATTTTGAAGTGAATTCCTTACCTTATACTCTTACTATAAATACACCAGTGTGTAGCTGTGGAAGACAGACTTTTGAAACTTAACTGCGATGTCATTGTCACACAAAGGTCACTGATAAGTTCTTAACATTAGCAAAATCAGTGTGCGATGGCCACCGTGTCTTCGTGGTGCCACATGGAGGACCCAGGGCGCTGAACTCCGCTGTGCCTCTCCAAGCAGCACATGCAGTGATGCTGACAGGTGTCGACAGCCGACTCAGCAAGCCTGCAGCTCGGCCAGGCTGCACACGTGCTCTGATTTGAAAAAGGAGCCAGCCCCACTCTAGGAAAGCGCTTCCTTGCCAGCATTGTCCTCCCGGGGGGCCCCGTGGGGACAGTCTCTTCTCCTGGAGATATGGCAGCCCTGTGGGATGGTGGAAGCGCCTGGCCGTGGGCTGTAGCGTCTGTGGACTTAGGGCCAGGAGTGGGACAGCGGGCAGCCGCCTCTGCCGGGGCCATGTCTGCTCTGCAGCTCTTGAGGAGCTGGCATAACTTCCATATGTGGTGACATAACTTGTTACCTTTTCTCTGTTTCCCCTCAATTTCTGGAAATGTACTCATATCATTTTATCACCTTTACTTGGTATCTGAGAATAGAAATGTTTTCCTAGGTATCAGGTGAAATTGTACCTGAACTTATATCAGACGTTTTTTGTGCTGTTTGTTTTAACTGTGACCTGCCTCCTTCTGGGAGCCGTCACCCCTCTGCTTATTCTGGTCAGGGCGCGTCATCCATAGGTGACAGAAGCAGGGACATTGGGCTCCCAGGGAGGGCTGCCACTCCGCCCAGGGCCTCCCAAGCCCAGACTTGCGCTTTGGGGTTTGTGTATCTGCCCGAGGCAGCAGCGCTCAGCTTTGGTTTGACTTGCAGCGTCTGGCATCCCGGCCTCCAAGCTGGTTGAAGCTCACGGATCCTTTGCCTCTGCCACCTGCACTGTCTGCCGGGCAACTGCCCCAGGGGAGGACTTCTGGGTGAGTTGTCACTCTTTGCTGGGGGAGAGGTCTGGAAAAAGTGGTAGTTTCTAAGCCCTGTCATATAGACAGAGAATGGTAATACTGTGAAAATGCTGTTCTCTATTTTAAAATTATAGATGTGATACGTGCTTGTAAAAAATTAAGGCCGTAGACCCCCTCCCCCCCCAAAAAAAAATTAAGGCCGTAGAGAGATACGTAGGAGAAAAGGAATCTCCCGTCAGCCAGTTCCTGCAGCCCACTTTTAACAGCTTGGTGTATGTCCCATGCCTTAAGAAAAAAAAACAGCTGTGTGTGTGAACACACACACATATCTGTTCCTACACACGGTTATAATTCTTTTTCAGTAATGTGATCAGTAAGCTTAATGTTCTACGACTCTCTACGACTCGCTTTGTTTCTGAGCGAATGTTCCTGGCTGCAGCTCTGCCCAGGTTTAGGGACTGCAGAAAAGACCTGTAGCCACCCTGTCGTGGATGTTTTTAGATGTTTGTAATTTTCACTGTGAACTGACACAGCGAGGAGACACCCTTACCCCCCTCATTCCTGTGGGTATCTCTGTAGGATGGGCTTTTCCAAGTGTGATAGGATGGAGCTGAAAACCTTAAATAAAGTCAACCCTGAAATACAGATGTGGCAAGGGACCCTGTCGTTTGTTTCTGACTCAGGTGAAATCCACATAACTGAATTCACCATCTCAGCGTACAAGTCAGTGGCGTTTATTTAGTGCATCCACAGTGTGGCCACCGCTTTGAATTCAAAACATTACTTCACGCTGAAGAGATACTGTCCATGAGTCAGTGAATCCCATTCCTGCCCTCCCCCAGCCCCTGGCGACCACTGATGCTGTCACTGTCCCCTTAGTTGTGCCTTTTGCAGCAGGTCACAGGTTGGGACCATAAAGTGTGTAGTCCTCCCCAAACTGGGAGGGGCATGTCGAGACGTGCTGGAGCTGGGGGGCGGGTGGGGGTTGCCTTTTCTTTAGAAGCGGGTTACCATCACTTCCTCGGGCCATTTCCTGTGCTCCCCAGGCTGACGTGCTGGGGGACCGGGTCCCACACTGCCCAGTCTGCGGTGGCGTCAGGAAGCCCGACATCGTATTCTTTGGGGAGCCGCTGCCCGACAGGTTCTTGCTGCACGTGGTTGACTTCCCCATGGCAGACCTGCTACTTATCCTGGGGACCTCCCTGCAGGTTTGGGGGGGGGGGCGGTGTGTGTGTGTGTGTGTGTGGTGCAGTGTGCGCAGGAGGCTGGAGGGAGAGGCACGGGGGAGCCGGGCTGGGGCACCCTGGGGCCTCCCTGTGGAGGATGAGTGGATTCAGCTGGTAGGACGCAGGCATTCCAGGCCTGGGAGCAGCTGGACGGAGAATGGAGGACGCTGGGCTTTGGAGGTGCTGTCGCTGTGAGGAAGGGAGGAGAGGAGGGGCATGGCGCCTCTCGGGTCATAGAGCAGCTGCCTGCTGGGAGCAGTGGTAACCTGGAAGGGGCAGGGGCAGAGACACAGATCGAAGCAAGCCCATGTCCAGGAAGCTGGCCGTACGAAAGGCAGAGCTGTGGGCACGGTCAGGCCACGTGCCTGAGACGGTGAGAGAGGAAGCGAGAGTGGGAGGCGGGAGGCCCAGTGCCCGCCCAGGGCGTTTGCTGGTGAGGAGCTTGCAGGGAGGGCGCTGAGCTTGGTTCTGCACGCGTGTTTGCCTGGGAGATGCCTGCTGGTTGAGTTCAGGTGTCCCCCACCTGCCTCTGAAGCTCAGGAAATCCGTAAAGGGAGTCATGAGGGCAAGAGGTGACACCCTGGGATGGACTGTGCCTGACTGGACGTGGGCAGCGGGCAGAAGGGCCAGAGACCTGCACGGAGGCCAGAGGTCTGCCTGCTGCGTGCGGGTCATCCTGGTGCTCTGGACACACACAGCAATTGTCCCGACGCCACGGGGACAGCTCCAGGACAGGAAGCTGGAAGGGCTGGTAGCTGGCTGTGGTGGCAGCACGCTTGGTTTGGTGTGCCTTGTCAGGAGCTGACACTGGAGCTGAGCTGGAGGTGATGCTGTTAGGTAGGGGCGTCTGACAGGAGACACTGCACAGGGGCCCAAAGGCCACACGTGGCAGGTGTGGGGCCAGCAGTGACAGCATCAGGTGACAGCATCAGTGAAGGTGGGTGGTCTGACTTCCTGTCCCTCTGGGTGCTGTGTCGTGAACAGACTCAGGAACACACGTGGGAGCAGGGCGAGTCAGAGGTGTGGTGGGAGGCCAGGTGAAGCCAGCAGAGGGCCATGGAGCCCAGTGTGTGAAGGTGCAGCCCGGGGCGATCCAGGGCTGCGCCCCGAGCAGCTGCAGGGATGTGGCTCATTTCCCGAGATGGAGAAGCCTAGCCGGCGAGTTTGGGGAACTTGGTCACTCCAGCCTGCGGAGTGTGCTGGGCTGCTGGGTGGACACGTCAAGTCCATGAAGGGCCGGAGCTGGGAGACTGGAGGACGTGAAGTGGGTTTTCAGTGATCCGAGGTCTCACCATCAGTCTGTGTGTCCCTCCAACGCCTCTGGCCTGGAGAGTCCTGAGGGGGTCGGAGCGGGGAACTGCTTTCCTCACTCTGGGCAGTTTTCCAGGTGGAGCCTTTCGCCAGCTTGTCTGAGGCTGTGCGGAGCTCGGTGCCCAGACTGCTCATGAACCGGGACATGGTGGGGTCCTTGGCCTGGTGTCCTCGCAGCAGGGACGTGGTCCAGCTGGGGGACCTGGTCCACAGCGTGGAGAGGCTGGTGGAGCTGCTGGGCTGGACAGAAGACATGCAGGATCTTGTCCAGCGGGAAACTGGGAAGGTACCGACCGCTGAGCAGGGTCCCCCGAGGGGCTGCCCTCCTCACTGCCCCAGGGCCTGGTGACGGCTGCCAGGCCCTTGCAACCATTCTACCCCCACTCAGAGCCCCAGGCAGTGATGCCGAGCCCACTTACAGGTGGCGGGGACGCATCCCTGCAGCTGGCGCTCCCTTCACTTCCTCAGTGGCCTTTTCCCCGAGGTGGAGTGTCCCCCGCCACTCAGACTGAGGTGCAAGGAGGGGTGTAGCAGCTTGGAGGGGCTGCAGGGCTGTGCCCGTGTGGCATGGAGCCCACACGAGTAGTGCTTAGGAGCCATCAGTGTGAGAGCCGCTGACCGAGGGTAGAACCAGAAAGCAGAGACCGGCAGCTGTAGGTTACCAGCCTGTAGGCGCTTGAACCACACAATGAGGTGGCTGCCTTGGTGTGAGGGTTATGTTCCCCCCACCCAGCCCCCCATAGTGCAGCACGGAGCCCAAAGGGCAGTTTCTCCCAGCTCCGGGCAGCCTGTGCAGGGGGGTCCTCCTAGCTCTGGCTTGCTGTGTCCATGACAGCAGGGTAAGTTGACAGGCCCTGTGGATGTTTGGAAGTCATCCTATGGAGAACTTCCAAACATCCTCGGATGAATGATGTTCATCATTCTTCATGGGAAATGAAAAAATGCTTTCTTCATTTCCCAGTTTGTATACACTGGGCTGTGATTTTAGGGGTTTAAAGAGCTGCTGCCCAAGAGTAAGTGGTGGCACATCTGGATTGGCCACTTACGCGAGGCCCCAGGTAGCTGTGTCATGGTCACAGCTCAGCAGCAGCCACTTCAGGACACAGCTGGAGCCCAGGCCGAGGTCTGCAGCCAGCACGGGTGTTAAGAGGAACTTCTTCTGTGTTCCAGCTCCCTGGGTGCGATGCATAGGGGGATGGCTGTCCCCGTACGAGCAGTGGGGACATGGGAATCACCGCCCACTTGTGAACAGACCCCACGCGTGCGTCCAGGACAGCGAGCGGCTGGCACTCTGTCTGGGCCATCCGTCAGGGACACCTGCCTGGCTTCTGTTGGACTCTCCACCCTACTGAAGCTCGGAAGGCCAGAGCCTCTGACGGCACCTGCCCTGTGCCCAGGTCCCCACGCGAGGGCCGGCTTCAGCCCACGGGCCGGGGTCCCACACAGGGCACTGGGGTTGCCGGCTGCCACTCTCAATGGGCTGTTTCTCATTTGAGCAGATTTGTCCTTCATTCTGGCACAAAGTAAACTTTAATGTGGAAACTGGGCGTCTCTTCATCTTTGTCTCCTCAGAGGGGATGGAAGTGTGGGCGGTGAACGTAGAAAGGAGGCCCTAGAGGTGCGTGCGTGTCTCTTTACTGGAGTCATCCGAGGACTGAACGTCTGTCCCTGGGTTCGCCCTGGAGCTGGGCTGAGAGCCCCCAGCCCCTCACTGAGGGTCATCGCATGCTGTCCCTTCTCCTCCAGTGCCTTTCACATTAACCTCCCGCAGACTTAGCGGCTGGCTCCAGACCCTTCCAGCAGATTTCTGCCTCGGTCCTGGTCCCCACTGCAGTATTGTGGTGGCACCTGGGCTGGCCCCCTGCCATCAGCTGACTCCAGTCAGGCACAGCTGGGATGGCAGCTCAGCACAGGCAGACTGAGAACAGGGTGAGTGGAGACCTGGCATGTGGTCAACTGTGCAAAGAACGAACACCAGCTTCCACTTCCTCATGTGCTTTATTTGGTACCTTACACACATTCAAACACTCCTGCCTGTAGCTGCCCCAGGACGGTGTCTCCATGATGCCTTGCAGGGTGCGGTAAATACAGGTGATTCACGAACGGCCTCTTCAACAGCGAGCACGACGGGGGAGGGCTCGGTGCTGTGGCTTCCCGCCCTGAGCTCTGTGGGGGCAGCTTGTTTCTGACGGCAGCATGCGAGTCCCAGCAGGTTCTCCCCTGGGAAGTGCAGCACTTGCCCGACCGGCCAGCTCTGGGCCACAGTGCCATCCATGCGTGGGCCTGCGCCTGAGTGCACGCACGCTCAGCTGAGTCCCGCTAAGCCCCGCCCCAGGCAGCAGCTCACGTCAAAGAAACCACTTCGTTTGTGGAACTCAAGGCTGAGTTTCCAGAGTGATAGTGGGACAAGACCCTCGCAGTCCCTGAGACAAGGAGTTGGACCGGAGGCGAATCATGAACAAAATTTTGGGAGCAAAGAGAAAGGGTCTCCAAGCTGGAGAGGCCTGTGGCTCCTAGGTCACGGCCCCAAGGACAGCACAGGTTCTGAAGGGCCAGCAGACGGGTGGCCGTCCTCAGTCAGGGTCCGAGTCGGGATCCGAGCAGACCTGCCCCTGCAGGCTCTCACGCATGGCGTCCTGCAGGGATGTGAGCTGCCCCCGGGGACTCATGCCCATGGGCTGGATGACTCTGTGCCTGCAGGGAAAGGCGTGCTGGGGCAGGGGTCCCGCTCACCCTGGCTGCTCCCGCTCCCTGGGAAAGCCTGGGCGGGAACTTATCCACCAGGCCTGAAGCCTCGCTGCCGCTGCGGAGCTGTGAGACCTGACAGTCTCGATTTCTCTGGGCCTCCGCTTCCGTCATCTGTGAAATGGGCACCACACTGCCCTCCACCCCAACTCGAGCCTGGGGGTTTCTCTAGGGTAGGCGGTTTCAGACACGGCCCGCCTCGCCCGCATCCTAAGCCCTCGTGCGCCCACCCCCAGGCTCACAGGCAGCACCCTTCCCCCCCTGCACGCACCTGGAGAGTTTGTCAAGCATGTTCACCAGCCTCATGGCCTCGTGCTCCTTCTGCTCATCCGTCATGCCTGCCATGGGGTTGGGCGGCTTCTCCTCCACCCTCCCGGTCACCGGGTTTATGCTGCTTCCCGGGGAAGAGGCGGGGAGCACGTTAGTGGCTCTCTAGGACAGCAGGGGCTGCCTGAGGTGGGTGCAAGCCCACGTCTCCTGCTTGTGCCCAAACTGACAAGAAACCCATTCTCCTACAGGTGGGGGTAGGGAGGCGACTTCAGGAAGAAAGCTCTTCCTGGAACAGCGGTTAACCAGCTCCTGACACCTGGGCCACCCATCCACCCAGGTGGCCTGGCCCCTTTCGCCTGTGTTTTCGAGGAAACATCGCATGTCAGGACCCACGCCACTGAGGAGCAGTGCCAGACTCCCAAAGGCCTCACCCCTAGTCACACTGTCCCACTCCCCTGGATCCAGGTGGCTGTGGGCAGGGGGACTGAGCCAGGGGAGCCCGAGGGTGTGGGACACACACCTGGCCTTGGCTTCCTTGTACTCGTCTGTGTCCGTGTCCTCATCCTCCGAGTACTGGCCTGGAGGCCGGCCCCCTGCCATGAGGCCCCGGGCAGCCAGGAGGCCGGCGGCATTGCCGTAGCCCGTGTACTTGACGAAGCGGGGCACTGCGGGCAGGGCAGTGGTCAGTGTGCACACACGCCAGAAGCGGGGTGGGGGAGGGGAGAGCAGCGCTCTGCCAGGCGGGCCCTACACTCACCGCTCTCGGAGCAGAGGACGAATAGGAACTCAGCGGCCACCCTCTTCACGTCGGTGTCCAGGTGCGTCATTAGGCGCACCAACTTGTTCCGCAGCATCTCACCCACCTCGGGCCGGGTCCTGACGTCCCTCAGTGGGGGCAGCACCTGGGGAGGCAGCCGGCCCTGAGCTTGGGCCGGGGCAGCCGGGGCCACCGGGGCCACCAGGGCCCAGCGCGGCTGCTTCCGTACCTGGGCCTTCAGGAACTTGCGGGCAGGGCGGTGCAGGCGGGCACACTCGGTCAGCACGCTCAGCACGGGGGCCACGCGCTCCTTCAGCCTGTGCGTCTGCAGAGGGGCCCTGGTCAGCGGGGCTGTGCCCCTGGCTGTCGGGAGACCAGGGGCTGCTCGCACCACGTGGTCCCTGCAGGAGGCAGTTGGGACGAGGGCCCACAGCGGGCAGTGGGTGTCCACTGAGCCTCCGGGGACCGGGCTAGAACCCAGCCCAGAGGGTCACCTGCATGCTGTGACTGGGGGCAAACTGCTCTAAATCTAACTTCCTCATCGGTTAACGAAGGGCTGTTGGGAAACAGCGTTTCAAGCTGTGAGCACAACACTGGCACCCAAGTGGCCCTCAGAATATGGTGGCTAAAAACCTGAGAACAAAACCACTGTGGGTTTCGTGGACAGAGAGCAGGGAGCTCCTGTCCTTCCTGGCCTTCCCCCATTACCTTCCTGGATCCTAGAACCAGCAGCGGTAGTGCTAGGCACAGACGGTCATGGCCAGTGTGTCCACTGCTGGGCACCGTGCACGTGTGGGTTCCGAGGGTCTGTGCTGTGCAGCGTGCACACCCTCGAGCTCCCGGAGGGCTGCTGAGAGCCCCAGCCAACCAACGTGCACAGATACAAGCACCTGTGGGTCATGGGACAGCTGATGCCAGTCCCCAAGGGATGCCTACAGTGACACTAAGAGTCTGAGGTCCCAAGCAGGGGTTGGGGGGCTTCTCAGGACCACTCAGGAGGGAGCCCCCAACAGGTCTAAGGAACAAGTACTCCAGTAGAGTGAAGACTCGATGCTTCGCAGGAAGCAGCGCAGTGAACCTCCCAGCATGTGCTTCTCAGGGCAGAGGGCCTGGCTTCCTCCCGGGTTGGACCCGTGTGGCTGGAGGCCAGAACCACAGCACTGAGCCCATCTCCACTCACTAGTGTGGACTTCACAAAAGCTGTGGCCACAGCTGCTTGGGAAGCCAGGGCCACTGGGCAGCCCCCACAGCAGGCCCCCATGCCCACCTGGTGTAGACGCTTCTCCAGGAAGCTGAGGAGGACACGGATCACGTCCATGTTAACACCCAGGAATTCCACAGAGCCTTCCTGCGGCTCCAGGGTAAGGAGGACGTCCAGGCACTGAACGGGCAGATTCCCCAGGAGGTTCACTGTGTGGCTGGTGACAGACAGACAGGGGTCCTGCTAAATCCTGTCCTCTCGCACAGGCACAACCCTTGGTGCACCCTGCTGGGCTCCACACGACATGAACCTAAGGAGCAGCCCCAGAGGCCGGAGCTGAAGCGGGGTCTGGTCTCAGGCACTCCTGTCCAGTGGGATGGGTCCCTGAGGCAGGAGGCACTCTGCAGACGTCCACCTGCCACCCTCTATCTGTGCTGAAACATCCCAGGCGACCTCTGGAAAACCTGGATCTGCCTACACACAGGTCACCGAGAATGGGAGCCAGTAACTACGTTGCCCTGTAGATACCACGCCACCTACTGCCACTACTCAAATTCCAGTGGCACTTTCCTGTCCCCTCGCATGGCTCTTATCCTAGCACACGTTGTATGTGCCAGGCTCTCTGGAAACACATTGATGCCTAGTCCCAATCAGACAGAACACTCTGTAAGGTGGAGCCCAGTCCACTGGCTGGGCTGGGAACACTGTCTACACCACCATCTACACAGGTGAGCACACTTCCATCCCGGGACGACAGGCCCCACCCTCACCCGTGGAACTCCTCCGTGCGGTCTCCTGCAGCAGCCACCATCACACAGTGCCGTAGAAGGGTCCCCAGGTGACGGTAAAGGGCAGCATCTTCCTGACAGAGAAAGAGATTCCTGTGACAGAGCACCACAGTTGTCCCACTGCTGCCAGCTGGGGTTGTGTCTGTCCCGCTCCAGGACCATGTGTACTGACAGTGCATCTTGTTGAGTGCAACCCCCCCCGCCCACCAAACACAGCCCTTTGGGAGGGCATCCCACTGTGTCCTGGCCCCACACGCACTCTCGTGGCAGGAGTCACCTACAGCCTCTCACCACACAGCCCTCCTGCCCTCCACGTCCCTCAGAAACACTCCTCGAGGCCCCAGAATGGGCGTCCCTTCCCTCCTTCATCCTCCCTGTGTCAGACACCTGTTCATAAGGCAGGTTGACTTCCCAGCAACGTTAGGTGAGCGCCAGTGCAGGTCAGCTCACCTGATCCACCTCCCTCTTGATGGAGTCAAACGTGATGTTGAAGAGCACCTTGAGGATCTCCATAGCCCGCTCTGTCTCCTGGGGAGAAAGGGGCTCTGGGGGGCTGTCTTTTGGGGTCATCCCCAGCGTCAGCTCCAGCGCATCAGTCAGCAGACGCACGCCCCCCAGCTCCTGAAACAGCTGCTGGCGAACGTCGGCACGCAGCGCAGTCAGCAGGAAGAGGAGGCGCAAGTCAAAGAACTGGACATCGTGCGGGATGCTGCTCTCCTGGTGCAGCCCCACGCGCTCCGCCAGCCTCACCACCAGGCGGGCCTCTGCTGCCAGCACCTGTGCCACGGGGCTGCTGAGCACGAGGTTACACAGGCACTTGAGGGCCTCGAGGACAATGTCCATGTCCAGCGCCTCAGGGGCTGACCCCGCGGAGCTGGAGATGCCAGCATAGCCGGCCAGTGCCTGCAGGCTCTGGAGGCTGGTGAAGGGGTCCAGGCAGCTGCTGTCCCTGGACAGGATGCGGACGCTCTGCAGCCAGGTGACGCGGCGGGAGGGTGGCAAGCCCTGCTCCAAGCCCGAAACCAGCAGCTCCGCCAGTCTCTGTGGATAGAGACAAGGGCGGCTCCACCAGGCCCCTCGACCAGGAGCCACCCGCCCCCGCCCCTCCATCCCTCGGTCAGCACGCACCTTCCTGTCTTCCTGTTGGGCATCATCAAACGTGAAGCTCTGAGAGTTCTGCAAACAGACCCCGAAGCTCAGGGAGCAGGAGCACAAGGGCAGGACCCTGGCTCCCAGGACCGGGCCGAGGCCAAACGCGCCGCTCGGAAACGGAGCCCCACCCCTACACACCTGTTCCCCAAGCGCGCACCCCGACTCTCCCCCAGCAACTCCTCGCAGCCTCGGCGCCGCTCTCCGCCGCGCTCCCTGCCACACTCACGCACCCTCTGCCGGCCACGCGCGTGCCCCACCCTGCCCCACCGTCGCCTCGCACGTCCCGCGTCCACGGTCCCGCTCACCTCCCGGTTGTACGTGCGCAGAGCCGCCATGATCGCGTCCTCCTCCCCCGTCTCCACGGCATCCGCAGCCGCACCGGGATCCATGGTGCCCCGCGCACGCCGCGCCGGGAATGCGGGACGGGCCACGCTCCGCGGCTGCTCCGCGGTTCGGAACCGGACTGCACCCGCCCCACCCTGGCTCCCTGCGCGGCGGACGCCGGGACGGCCGTGCGCGGCGCCGCGGGGCGGGGCCTAGCTCGCGCGGGGGACGCCGGGACGGCCGTGCGGGGCGCCGCGGGGCGGGGCGGGGCGGGTCCCGAGCCGCGCGCGCCTAAGGGCCGTGGGACGTGGGTCTTGCGGGCTTGCCTCCTGGTCGGCCCGGGCTTCAAGCTCCGACTCGGTGATCGTCTGAATTTGGGGCCTGAGTCGCCCCTGAACCGTACAGTGACCACCCCCTCTTCTTGGGCCGGCATTGCCGGCAGGAGACGCCCTCAGCCCCAAACCCCCACCACACGCACCGCGACGCCCCTCTGGAGCCGCAGAACGAGTGGGACGTGGGGGGCAAGCCGAGGTGGAAAGGACTTGGCGGCCCTGTGACCAGTTGGTTTGTTAAGCGTTTGAGTGCCTACTGCATGCGAGGGGCTGAGATGCGGGTAAACAGCACCCACACGTCCCTGTCTTCGTGGCGTTTACGTTTTAGAAGTCGACAGCCAGGGAAAAACGGACAAACGAGACGACTTTAGGCAGTCGTGGTGCTGTGATTTAAAAAATCAAGGGGTCTGGTTGTAACCGAGCAGAGTTGCCCACCCTGTGCTGCGGGTAGCCAATGACACTGACACGTGTGCAGTGAAAAGCGTTTATTGTAGACCGCGGCACAACGGAGAGCGGATGGCTTTCGCTGGAAAAACCCGAACGCCCCGTCCGCTTATTGGCAGTTGTTTTTAAAGGGTGAAATGGGGGTAGGGGGTCTTCAATACGTTATCAGCTCGGGGGTGTTTTATGATTGGTTGGAGCTGGCGTTACAAAGACATTTTAGGAGTTTTGGTCATCAGTTCTTTGTGACTGTTGGAGGTTTTGTAAGAATGACTCAAGGTATGCGTCAGTATGTCATCTGTGATTCCAGAGGACGAATTAGTGCCCCAAGACCCTGATTTATGTCTGAGAAAGTTGACTTCGTTGAATGTAAATAAAGAAAAGGGACTGGGGTCTGATTTCTTACAAGAACTGGCGGGGGGTGGGGGGCTTGCTGAGAAGGGATTCTACAATAGCTGGGCTTCATGGTGCGCTGCAAAGGGCTTTGAAGAAGGGGCATGCTTTTGCTGAGACCGGACGGTAAGAAGTGAGCCAGGAAGGTGGTTCAAGGCAGGAGGAGCAGCCACCTTGAAAGATGGGAATGGCCGAGGGGAGTGTGAGGTCAGGATGAGGCGGAGCCCGATTACGTGCGGCGCGACTTCCCAGCTGTGTAATCTGGACGGACACTGCCAGGCCTGTACTCCGTTTCCTCTTTTGAAAAACACAGGTGATAAAAATTCCCGTTTCAGTGGTTTGTCAGGACGAATGAATGACACACAGCAAATGATGACTGCGGTGGGTGACGAATGCAACGAGTCTGTGTTGGGCATTCAGGCTGAGCCAGGCCCTTGGCCAGCAGCGCCCGCATGCCAAAGCGGGAAGCACCAGCTCCTACCGGACCCACGCCCCCGCCCCCCCCTTTCCTCGCTTCCCGTTCTTTTCCGAGCGCTTCACGCCTGCGTCTGCCTCCGCGCTCGCTCGTTGCGGGCACCGATCTCCGCCGCGTCCCGCCAGCAGTAACTGGGGCCGGGGTTGCCGCGAGCCCGCGCCTTAACCGCACCGCAGTGGGCTGGGGCCTCGAGAGCCGGGCTGGGTCGGCTCCTGCCTGGACCTCGCTGCGGAAGAGGCCATTGTGAGACCTGACGCGGCCTTCCGCGGGGGTGACAAGTATCTGTCAGCACGATAACGCGCGCAACACCGACCGCCTGGCCCCCGACTCAGGCCACGCACGCTCCCAACGCTCCGCCCCTGCGCCCAGCTGCCCGGAAGTCGGCGGGCCCCGGGCGGAAGGGGCGGGACCGGAAGCCCCTTTCCGTGACTGCCACGTCGGAGGAGCCTGTGGTCGAAGCGTTGACGGAGCCCGGGGCCGCAGCCGCGCACGATGGCGGATTGGGCTCGGGGTGAGCGCGGGGGAGCGGAGCCGATGGCGGCGGGCACAGCTGTCACCGACGCCGCTGTCCGCAGGAGCCCGCCCGGCTGGGTGGCCTCAGCGGGGAGCCCCTGCCGGCGGGCGGAGCCGGGTCCGGGGGACCGGGCAGCAGCCGGCCCCGCCCCGCCGCCCCGTGAGGGGTCGCTGTGGCTCTGCGGGTGTTTCCGCCCAGCCGCTCCGCGCAGCTGCGGGGTCCCGACGCCCACGGTCCCCACCCGTCCGCACGGCCCGGAGGCCAGCCCCCAGGAGTGGAGGCTGCGCGGTGGGAGGGCGTGAGCAGGCCTCGCGGTGGCTGGGGCCCTGGGCGCCCCGTTGGCCCTCTGGGAGCCCCCGCCCGATGCTGATGCCGGTCTCACTGAGCTGTGTGACCATTAGGAACTAGTGACCGCGAAGGGGCTGCTAGGACGTAACACCCTTTCCTTAGGGGTCTACACATCCGTGATTCCTAGGGCTGCGCCCCCATTAGAGGGGGTCACGTTGAGGCATCTGTCCCCTGGCAAGTTGCACTCTCAAGTGGGGTGCAGGTGCTTTTCACACACCTGATGTGACTAATCCCAAATGACCCGGCCAGGACTCAGCAGGCACCACACTCCGTGTCTGCCATAGCAGGCCCTGTGGGTCGCAGCGGTGACCAGAGGCCATCCCTGCCCTTGGGATCTGCTTTGGGGAGCACTGCTCAGTTGTCGCCTCCCTGGTTACTTGTCACCTCATTGGGACCCAGTTCACAGGTGGCTCCTGCAAGGGACCTTCCTGCTGCCCCCTGCTGCCTCACATTTTCTCAGTATCTTATGGTTTTTCTTACGACCATACCAATTTACTGTTTATCTCTGAAAATAGGTCCCATGTACATCATTGGTAACATCCGTGGAGGGATGGTATAGATTCTGTCACAGTATCCCAAAGTGCCAGTTTCACTGAACTGTTTGGGGTTGTACACTTTGAGGATGCCTGCCCGTCCCCACCTTTATGTGTATACAGACCATGGACTCCCACGACAGGTGCTCACGCACACTGTCACTTATGCAGTGTGTCTTGTGTGTGAAGTCCTTGCACCAGACCCCGGGTTAGGGCTCTGTACCTGCTCAACAGACAGGTGGACCCAGTTCCCCCAGACGTGACTCTTGGCCAGATGGGATTGTAGTGGGAGCCCTGAGGTCACAAAGGGCCGATCAGGGTCAAGGGCTCGTGTGTGGATGCACCCCTCAGCTTTTCTCTTTTTGTAGCTCAGAGCTCCGGCGCCGTGGAGGAGATTTTAGACCTGGAGAACAAGCGGATGGCTGACAGCCTGGCCTCCAAGGTCACCAGGCTCAAATCGGTCAGTAGTGGCCCATTTCACCTTCACCTGATGCTGGAGTGGGATCAGAGGGAGGGTAGAGGCCTGGAAGGGTTAAATGTGCTTCCCATCCTTGTCCCATCCATGGCAGTGCTCACCTGGTGTGAGGCCCAGGTGACATCTGAGCCTGATCTCTGGTGGTGGCACCGTGTCTGGCAGAGTTATTGACAGGGTCTGCTGATCTTGTTGGAGGTCAGGCACCATTTGGTGTGTCTGCCTTGGCCTGACCCTGCCCCCCCCTGTTCTGACCAGTTGGCCCTGGACATCGATAGGGATGCTGAGGACCAGAACCGGTACCTGGATGGCATGGTAAGGGTCTGCGACGTGCACAAGTGTCGTGGGCAGCTCTGCCCTGCACCGCCTGCTCTCAACCCCCACCCCACCCCACCCCCGTGGCGGGTCGTGGAGGCAGCGCCCATGTGACCAAGCTGGGATTCCTCCCGCAGGACTCGGATTTCACAAGTGTGACAGGTCTGCTCACGGGGAGCGTGAAGCGCTTTTCCACAATGGCGCGGTCTGGGAGAGACAACCGAAAGCTTCTGTGCTGCATGGCCTTGGGCCTGGTTGTGGTCTTCTTCATCCTCTCCTACCTCCTGTCCAGGGCAAGGACGTGAGCCAGTGGGAGCTGGCTTCTGAGGGTGCCCGGGGCAACCAGGGTTGTCCCTACCTGGTGTCCTGGGCTCCAGAGGACCTGCCTACAAAATGCTCCTTCGAAACGATGACCATGGCTTAGGAATCTTCTTCCTGTGTGGCTGGGAGCCCATGGCTACTTCTGACTCAGCTGTGTTGACTGGTCCCATGTGTGCAAGGGCCCAGGTATCAGAGGCACTGCGGAAACATATCTGAGCAGAGCAGCTGGAAGTCCTGGACACGGCCTCCAGAGGCTGGCAGCCCTTCCACAGACCCTTGGTTCCGACATCTCACCGTTTTCCTACCTGCTCATCCTTGTCTGGTAAGGCCACGCCTGGTGTCCTAGGTGCCTGGATCTGGTACAGGAAGGGCGTGTGGTTGTGGGCCTCTACTCATGGCCAGAGCCGCCGAGCACAGGCATAGTGGGGCTTGGGCCCACCGCCAGGCCTCTGCCTGCTGTCCAGCCCCATGGCTGAAGCCAGACCTTCGGGAAAGGGCAGGGATGTGGACGAAGGAGTGGACTGGAGTCTTGGCTGGAAGCACTGGACCCAGAACCTTCTGGATCTCGCAGCTGTGTATCCATGAGCAGAATTCACATTTTCTCAGGATTTAGGATCTACCCAGCACCAAAAGATGCAGTTCCAGGAGCGCAGATCTGATGAGGGGCCCATCTGGTGCTTCAGTCAGGCAAGAGCAGTGGGGCTTCCCGGCACGGACCCTCCTCATAGGACCCGTAGGTCACTTCTTCTCACAGTGACAGGACCTCTGAGCCGCCTCCTTGTCCCCAGCTCCTGCAGATGCCCGCCCCGCCCACCTGTCCCTGGTCCCTTACTGCTCCTGTGGCCAGCCCCAGGCTCACACAAAGCAAAGCATTCAGGCCAGTGGCTTTTCACCCCACAGTGAGAACCCAGCACCCTTGACATGAAAACATGTGTTAGAAAAGGGGTCCCTGTCCTCGTTCCCATCTTCTGTCTTCTCGTTCCGGTCACCTCCCCCACCGCCTCCCCCCACCTCCCATTACTTCCTGAGGACCACTGGCTCACTGCCCACCGCCCTGCACGGTCACCCCGTGTGCGGCCACAGCCTGGTGCCTGTCAGCTCGTGCCGCTGTCCTGCCTGGCTGTGGCCTCCATCCCTGGATGCTGCTGTTCCCTGTTCTCTCTCCTCCTCCCTGCTGGCCCGGTCCATCCTCACGGTCCCCACTGTGCCCTCTCTGCCATCGTACCTGCTGGCCCTCAGTCCCAGGGGGAGGAGGACGCCCACCCCTCCAGGATGGGCTCTTTTCACTGAGGTTGGCTTAGCTGCTGCTGCGTCTGGGGCTTGACTGCCCCCGCCACGTTCCGGCCCCCGAGGTCCTGCCTTGCTCCCCAGTGGCCCTGTGCACCCCAGCTTTGGCTTCACGCTCTGCTCGTCTCATGTCAACCCTTGTTATGGGGACTTGTCCACTGTTCACCAAGCTGGACAGCTGCTACCTGTGTGCAACTGGTCACTACGGGCAGCAGCACACCTTACCCCTATCCTGGGCCTGTGGGCTCACCTCACGTCCTGACCTGAGGGTGCTCCGGCCGCACTGCCTGCTGGTCCTGCCAGTGCTGCCTGGGCCTTCCTGCCAACTCTCTGAGATACCCTGTTGCTAGTTTTGTCCCCACCTTCATCTCCACAGCTCTGCAGCCATTTGGGGCCTGGGTCTTAGTTCCTCTCTGGTGTTTTTTCACTCATGGTGTTAGGATGAATTCCGTGAAGTGGGCGTGGCGCTCAGCCCTGCACTTGGCACCTAGGCCTGTGGGTTTTGTGTTGCCAACACTGATCCCTGAGACCAGTAAAATGGAAAAGGACTTGGGGCCCCGCCTGCCAAGTGAGGACAGAGTGCCAAGCTCTGCCCCATAAAGCAAGATCGGAATAAACGGCTCCACCAGGAAGCAAGCGTGAAGTCTTTGGTGTCCTCGTTCCCGTGGGGGCTTGAGGGAGCTTTGGAATCCCGGTCCACGGACTGGCCATGGGCACTGGTGGGCTAGACCCCGCTTGCCCCGCCGTCTGGTCTCCCCGCCCCCTGCACCGCCCCCCCCGCCCCATGGGCAGTCCCAGGCTTGCCTTTCTCTGCCTGAGCTTCTGTAACTCCGGTGAGGACACCAGAAGCATCACCTCGGGGACTGAACGGACGAGTGTGAGCTGCCGAGGCAGCCTCAGCAGCTGCAGCACCCTGGCAGCCCCACAGGACACAGACAGGGCCTCCCACCCTGAGTGACCTCTCCCCAAGGCTGAGCTGAAATCCGGCTCCACTCCTCAAGGCCTGACCTTGGGGTCCGGGGCAGCCCCTGGAAAGGCCCCTCAGACCCAGCCCAGATGCCACCTTCCTTGCCCACGTCCTCCTGTGCTTTCTGTGTAACCTGTGATGTAGAACAGATCACCCTAAAACTTAGTCGCTTAAAATGGCAACAATAATTTACGTCTCACAGTTAACTGGTTGGAACTTGAGCGGCACGGCAGGAACAGCTGTCCCTGCTCTACGATGTCAAGGCCTCACTTGGGGACACAGGACTGGGCTGCCATCACCTGATGGTCAGTGCCGCTGTGAACTGAGTGCCTGGGTGCTGCTGGTGTGACGGTGATCAAGGTTGGGGGGTTCCGGCAGAGACTGTTTCCTTTGTGTGTTATATGCACTGGCCCCAGAAGTGACGTGGCATCAATTTGGGGTGGCCACAGCCTCCAGCCCAGATTCGAGGGGAGGGACAGAGACCCCAGCTTTCAGTTGGGGGAGTCAGTCAGCGTGTGGGAGGAACGGGAGTAGGTGTGGCCACCTTTGGAGTCCACCAAGCTGAGAAGACAGGAGGGCAGGGCGTCTGCTCAGGCCACGCCCTGGAAGCGAGGCCAGGACCCGATGTCTGCGCTGCAGCCTGTGGGGGCCTCTGGAAAAGATTGATGCTCCCCCCAGAACAAATCCATTTCTAACAGAATCATTATTTATTAAGTATGTGGGCACGGTAGGAAACAAGATTAGCAAATGGGGAAGTAGCATAAAAACCTGACTGGTCACAGTTGTCCAAACAAGCATGCTCTGCCCTGCAAGGCCTGGCCGGCCCAGCCCACAGCCCAGGGAAGAGGCTCGGGGTGACAGGTCGGATGGGGAGCAGGGCTATTCCACGTCCACAACCAAGGGCGTCATATAGTCGGAATGTTTGATGCCAAAGGTGACGATGGGGGCGCAGGGCTTGGTCATTGTCACCTGGGAGAGGAGAAGCCATGAGGAGTGGGCACCCCGGCCCCACCCAGGCTCCGCCCTCACTGGGACTGCAGTTGCTGATGGTGGCTTTACTGTCCCTCCTGAACCCGAGGACACAATGACCAGCATGAAGGCCACACTGCCAGGTTTGAATACAGAAACTGGCATGTGGTGAGCGCTCAGTAGGGTTAGCTGTCACTAGTGTGTGGGGACGCAGAGCCTGCCAGCTGGGGAAAAGGGCCAGGTGCTGTGACACTCCACCCCCACCCCCAGGCTGTGCCCTCCCCCAGTGCCCCGCCCACCCCTCTGGACCCAGCTCTTCCCAGACCTTCTCAGGGCTGTGGGCTCCTGGTCCTGGCTTGAGGGTCTTGTCCCCCGGGGGCTCCACTCGGGCAGCCATGGTGTACTGTGGAGCCTTGAACTTGGTCACCTGCATGTCGGTCTGACGGTAGGCTGCGGGACCTGGGGTCTGGGAGGCCAAAGAAACTCAGACAGACACAGCCCCTTCAGGCCCTGTGACCAGAGGGCAAAGGGCTAGCGTTGGACAGTGGGTTTCAGGTTCTGAGTCACTGCATCTGTGTGTCAGGCCTCTTCTGTCTCCAAACAGCAGTCACCGTGGGGATGACCCCCAGTGCTGTGGGACCCTCTACTTCAGCCTCGTCATGGCAGTGCCACCCCAGTGTGTGCCAGCCCTGGGCTCATCCGTTCTGTGAGTGACAGAGGCTCCTTCCAGCAGGGACGCTGCCTAGGGTCCTGACGGCTGGCCGCGGGCTGGGCTGGACGGAGCTCTTCAAGCTCCCAGGCACATGCCCACCTTGGCCTAAGCACTGGCCCTGTCTGCAGGTGGAGTCCTCCCCAGAAACCTCGCAGCTCACGTTTCTCCTCCTCGCTCTGCCCGTGCCCCATTGAACGCTGCTGCCCGCCCTCTGAGCAGTGCTCGTGACCCTCTCCCCTGCTCAACCCTCCTCGGCACTCTAGTGTAACTTGGGCACATGGCAACCATGAGCACCAAGCCCTGAGGGGAGAGGGCGGGGTCAGGCTGCGGGTTCTGGGGGGAGGGGCAGGTGGGTGTCTTAGCGGGGGATGCGCTACACCCCGACTGGGCGCCTCTCACCTTGTGCTGGTCGTCAGCGAAGCTGCCCAGCTGGCTGCGGCCCTTGATAGAGAAGGAAGGCTGGGATGCCTTGCCCACCGTGTGGGGCCCCAGCACCCCCGGCAGCATGTAGGCGGCGGGGCCTGCGGACGGGCGGCACTGAGTCTTTGCCTCCCGGAAACCAGCGGTCAGGCTGCCCAGCGCCCTCCGCCCCACACCACCCCATCTCCACCCCATTGGCTGTGGGCTGTTCGGGTTCCTGTGAACCTGGGGTGCTGTCCACTCGGAAGGTCTTGGTCCGGGCAGAAATGGAGTGGCTAGGTGCTGAGTCGAACACATGCCTGGTGGATTTCTCTGGAAAGTATTCGCCTGGTGTGGGAGGTGGGGGCAAGCAGAGGGGGTGCTGGGAAGACCAGGACCATCTCTGCAGGTGCCCAGCCAAGCTCAGGGGGCTCAAGGAGGACCCCCAACATTGCAGGTGTGGGACCTCTGGGCCCCAACATGGACGGTGATGTATTGGTCAGGGGGTGCCCAGGGTGGAAGTGCTGACCTGGGCCTGGGGCAGGGACTGGGGCTGAGTGGCACCCAGGTCCCAGCTGGGTTGAGGTGACTCAGAACCTTTGTCCTCATCTTTCTCATGAGGACAAAGACAAGGACATGAGGACATGGTGCCCCCTCCCGCCCTTGGCTCAACAGACATGAAGTGGTCACCAGCAGGGGGGGCTGAGGCTGGGCCACTGTCACTCACCAGGGCCAGGGGTCAGCATGGTCTTGGTGCTGTAGCGCCCCAGGATGGAGAAGGCGGGGCCGAGGTCCTTGCCTGTTCTCAGTATCTTGGGGTTCACATTGTAGCGAGGCCCTGGGGAGCAGTTCTCTGCTAGGAGCATGGGGGCCCCACGGAAGCTGTAGGCAGGTGCTCGCAGCTTGGTGGGCGTGTGCTTCACAAAGCCTGTGGGGAGGGGGCTCTGAGCAGCCTGGAGCCAGACCCCAGCCTTCTCTCCACCCTACTGACCCCGGAGGGATTGATGGGCTGGGAGCCAGGGATGAGCCCCAGGACCACTCATCGAACCTCAGGCCCAGCCCAGGCCCACCCCAGCCCCCTCCTGGTCTCACAGGCACTTACCCGTGGTAGGTGGGATCAGGTACTTGGGTCCAGGGCTGCTGTAGAGAGCCATGATGGGCCCTCGGGGGCGATGGGGCCTCCAGGTGCCCACCCATATCTCCTCTGCCATGACCGGCTCTGTCCACAGACAGGAGGGTGACCTGGTGCTGGGAGGCACCAGTCCCCCACCCCCATCCCTGCTATCGCCCCCACTGATGGGCAGAACTGCCGGCCACAGCCTGCTCAGCGGGTTCTCAAGTTGGGACCCAGACTTAAGGGAGTAGAAGCTTCCGCTTGAACTCGTGAGATTGCCCTGCCCTCACCAACCTGAGGACGAGGGCCGTCAGACCCACAAACTATATCCTCTGGCCCCTACTGACCGGTGCTCACTGGCCCAACAGAGTCTGGCCAAGTTCCTCCCACACACAGGGTCCTGGGCATGGCCGGCTGGGCAAGGAGCAGTGGGCAAAGGGGAGGCTGTGCCCCCGGTGGGGTGGGGACCCTTTGGGGGGGGGCCCTTACCTCTTTGGTCCAGGAATGGTGCGCAAGGCAACCTATAGACCGAGCCTCCTCATAGGTGGTCCTGTTGCATCATCCTTGGTTTCCAAAAGAGCATGGAGAGGACGGCGTCTCCCTTTGCCTCCTCTCCCACCGGGGGCTTTGAGAATTGGGAAGGGGTCCCAGCCCGAGCTCTAGAATGTGGCTCTGTGGGACTGTGGATTCTAGATCCCCGTCTGTGTGATGGAGACAATGGCCTGCACCAGAGGGGCCCCACCCTTGCCAGGCTTGGCTCTGGCCCCAGGATTTGCTGTGCTCATTGAGGTGGGGAAACAGAGGCATGGAGGGCAGCCAAAGGGACAGCGAGGCCACGTGGCCCAGTGCCAGGTGGCCACAGAGCAAAGGCTGTGAGGGCCAGAGCTGAAGTTGCTCAACCTGGCCCTGGTGGAGACCACTGAGCCAGGGAACACGAGCAGGTCAGGGCCCTGGGGCACAGGGTGAGGGTGGGTGGGCAAGGTCTGAGCGGGAGCTGCTGGTTTCTGTGGGACCTTCTGAGCCCCTGCTCTGTCTCGCACACCACGGGCCACGTCATCCTGACTCAGCATCCTTGAGAGGTGCATTTGCTTCTCTACTCCTCCAGGGTCCCTTTGGGGTCCGACTGGGCTTTCTCCCTGGCAGACTCTTCCTTGGGTGACTTTGGGAGACAGACTGCTCTCAGCCCCTGGCCCTGTGCCATGTGTTTGTTGTGTGTCATGTACCATTGGGGGATGGGGCGTCCCCACCGCCTGTCGTCCAGCCGGGCCACTTCCTCTTTCTGGGGCTCTCTGCCTCCCACCACGGGCTAGGGACTTCTCCCATCTGTCCTGCTCCGCCCAGCTGCCTACATGGGGGTCGGACAGGATTTCCACAGGTGGGTCTGCCCACTTAGTGGTGTGCTTCCTGCTTGTGACCTTATGCTTATGTGTGTAGTTATGTGTCCGAGTGTAGGGAGAGATAAGCCAGACCCTCAGCTGCAGGAGGCTTTATTGAGTGAAGGGCTTGAGGATAAATTCACACGTGGGCAGTGGCAGTGGGGTGGCGTGGCCATGGCTGCTCGTGTAGCTGGTCCTGTGGCCGTTAGTAGCCACGTCTGGGGTCCACTAGGCACCTTCCTCACTGCCGAGCACTTGCACCTGGAAGGAAGACACGGGTGGGCCAAGGGCTGGGCTCCCGCCTGGTGATCCCTGGAGAGTCACAGCTCCATCAGGCAAACAGGCCCAGCCCAGCCTCTGGGGGATGGTGGGCCCCGGCACATTTCTGCTGGGGAAGCGGTGTGTGTGTGCGTGAGCGTGCATGCATGTGTGTGGAAGGGGGCTGAGGGCTGCTCTGTAGGTAATGAGGCCTGGTGTACACATCTGCTGGCTGAAGCAGGTCAGGGTGTCTGTGAGAGCAGGACTGGGGGCCCTCGGGGAGGGAGTGCCCCACCGGCCCCAGTACCAGCAACTTGACCATCTCCGCCTTGTGCATGGGCTGCATGCTGTCTATGCAGGACTTGAGCTCGGCCAGCGCTGCCTTGGCATCTGCGTTGACGTCGTACTGGCCCAGGGGCCCCTCATAGAGCTCCTCTGGGGACCCCACCAGCAGTGTTTGTAGGAAGTCCATGAAAAATTCATTGTTGTCCTCCCCTGTGGCCAGCCCTGTACCGTGGGGGCGAGATGTCACCAGGAAGAGAGGACTGTACTCCCACCCCAGCCCCAGACCTCCCCACGTCTCCAACCTTAGTGGTCTCCAGACTTTCCCCATCAATGCCCGCCTCGCCTGCCCCAGGTACCCCTGCAGCTACCCCGCCTCACGTGCTCCAGGTGCCCCCATGGTTACCCCGCCTCACCTGCTCACAGACCCCTCCCATCACCCCTAACCTCAGCCGCCTTCCTTTCCTCCAGGTTCCCTGGCATCACCGGGGAAGGAAAGTCAAGACCCTGCCGTGGGTATTTGCCCTCCATGTGAGGTTGGCTGGCCTGGGGCTTGGAGGGTCGGGTCAGGTTGGGCTGGGCTGGGCTGGAGACACTGGGCTTGGTGGTGACGCTGGGGCTGGGACAGACACTGGGGCTGGGCTGGAGTTGGGGACCGGAGCGGCCCCGAGCCAACTTGTTTGCTGACCTCCGTGTTCTGTGAGGGGAGGAGGGCTGGGTGCCTGGGAGGGCGGGCACCAGTCACTGCGAGGGGCACTCAGGTTCCCACCGACCCCCTGCAGGCAGAAGATCTGGAAGCCTGTCAGTGCTCAGACTCACCGCAGGTGCCGAGTAAGGCGAGGGCCGCCAGCAGCAGGGCGCTGCTCCCCTTCATGGCTGGGTTCCTTGTGAGCTGCTTCCACCATCGGCTTTATGCCTCCCGGGCAGCACCTGGAGGGGAGGGCCGACCTGCCCATCAGGACCTGGCCAGTGAGAGCACAGGCGGGTCTGCCGAGGGTGTGTCCTTATCTCCACACCCCAGCAGGTACCAAGGGGCTGGGGGTGCTGTGTGAGGGACGGTTGGCCAACAGCTCTGGGGCAAGTGGACTAGGTGAGGGCCACCTGAGCCTGGTCAGTAAGAAGGGGGTGGGGTAGCGGCTGCGGTGCCGAGGGCCTCTGGCCACACTGGGCTGTGGCTGAGAGAGGAGGGCTCTGGGGTCAGCATCCAGCTCAGAGCCCAGGGACTCAGACTGCAGGGCTCCCCTGGGGCAGGTGTGGCAGCAGGGGGTGGGGGTGGGGGCATCCTGCGGCCTATGGATCTGGGGGGTGGGAGATGGGCCCAGGGCCGCCGGAGACCTGAAGTGGGCAGCAGTGTCCCCAGGTTGGAAGGTGGGCCTGAGAGGGGCTGAGGGGTGAGTCAGGGCCATCCCTGATGCCTGGCAGGATCACCAGGTCACCACAGGAAGTGAAGAGGGGCCACAGCCTGATACCTAGCTTCCTTCTGGGGCCAGCACAGCCAAGGCCGGTGTAGGGTCTGGGGGAGACGAGACACCTGAGCCACCAACCAGACATTCCTGGGTCTGAGTTCTGGCCTTGCCCCTGTCCTCTGCTGCCACCTGGTGGCTGATGGCATCCTACAGGACTGGGACATCTTGCTCACCCTTGGGGACCCAAAGAGGTCCCATCATTCAGCACCCACCTGCACCTCCCCCACACAAATTGCATCGTCGGTTATCATGGCGTCCCTTGTCACCCTGCCCTCACTTGCCTTCACCTGGTCCAGAGTCTGTCACAGACCCCAGACCCTTGGCTGGTGCCTTCCTGATCACAGAGCTTGTCACCCACGCTGGCACCTGTGTATAACGAGTAAGCTAACATGGAATGGAACAAAAGATGACGTCACCTAGTTACACACATGACTCCAAGAATAAGGGGGTATGATGAGGTCACTGTGACAGAACAATGTCGCTGCACCAACGGGCGGGGCCACGAGGGGCCAACCTGAACCCCCGTCTGCCAAGGCCCTGGGTTGCCAGCTCCTTTACTCAGCAGTTCCTCAGCTGCTGCTCTGTCCCTTGGGCTCACCGTAGCCAACAGCGACTGGACATCTGTCACTCTGCCCCTGCAGAGGACGCCTACCCTCAGGGCCAGCTCCAGTGGAGACTGTGCACCCAGCCCTCGCTGCCCACCTCGGCTCCAAAGTACTGCCCACACAGGGCTGGACTGGATGCTTCTTTGCTGCACTAAGCTTGTGAGTTCTCTTCTCCCCAAACCCCAGCCCCCAAGGCAAAGCCATTGTACTCTGCTCCTGCAGCCCTTCCTGGCCTGTCAGCTGCAGAAGCCAACATCCTGTCACAGCGCCTATCATAGTGCCTGAGGATCTGAGCACCTACATGCTGCCTCCCTGCGCACTGCTGCAGCTGCCAATCTTGGTGACACCATGTTGCCCTCTGCCCCTGCCCTCCACCTGCTGAGTCAGCCACTGTCAAGGCTGTTTCTTGGTCTGAGCCGCACTACAGCCGAGTTACACTCCCTCTAACCCATAACTTCTGGTGCCCCTGCCTCTGGCCATGTCCTGTGTCCTCAGCTCGCTGCCTTTGACACTGGCCCAGCAGCTAGCTACGCGGGTGTGTGGCTGACCCCCAACATCCTCACCAGCTTCCCGACCGCCTGGCCTGGGGTCCTCACCATCTGCCCGAGACTGAGCAATTCTCTCCAACTCGTATCCTGCATCAGTGTACATTCGCCCTGCAGGGATGGCTGTGCTCAGATGTTCCTTCCCTGAGACCTGGGCTTCCTGCTGGAAGACACTGGCCAGGTCCTGTGGGGCAGCTCAGAGTGAACAGGGGCAGGGGCCCGGCTGGCCCCTCTGGGCCCCAAGCAGACGTTTGCTCTCGGGAGTCTGAATACTGACCACAGGGCTGGTCTGTGCTATGCAAATGCATGAAGCCGCTGACCCTGGGGGCAGAACCGCACCCACGTGTCCTGTGGGGCACAGCTGTGCCCCTGGCCACCTGGGGACCCCTAACCCCAGCCTTACCTGCACCAGCGCTGTGAAGCGTTGCTTGTCCGAGGGAGGGCTCCCCCGGCTCCCTGGGTACTCCCAGTCAAGGTCGAGGCCATCAAAGTCGTATTTACGCAGAAACGTGATGGCTGAGTTGACAAAGGTCTGACGGTTGTTGGCTGTGGCCACCATGTCTGTGAACCTGCGTGGTGACGAAAGGCAGTATGGGCCTGCCTTGCAGTGGACAGCGG